CGCTTGTTGTGTGTGTGTGTGTGTGTGTGTGTGTAATAAATATATATATATATTGGTGTATAGCCAAAAACTAGAATAAAGTCGTTGTATGAACATATGCACGTGCATATTTTAAGAAATTCGAAAAAATATTAATGAAACCGCCCGGGCTTGAACTAGAATCGAAAAGTATCCGAGATATTTAGTCTGTACGACCATAACAATTTCCTATCGTTGTCTGTTTGTTTTCCAAACTTCTTTCTTACTTGTGGCTGCTTACGGTTATTTCTATTTTACAATATTATGAATATAACATGTGATGTATTCATGAATCACGTGTATTATAAATATATAACGTGATTGAAATGTATTTACCATACACATATAATGAAAAGCTAGCATATGTATAAAGTTTCTAATTGATGTGTGTATCATCGAGCCATGATTTCCTCATAAAATTGGCTTTAATTTTTCAACGAAGTTTGCAGTATAGTTAATATAGAAGTTTACAGACATGGTGTCTTTTACAGACATGAGCTATGTTTCAAAATTCATTGCCAGTACTAAAAATGTATAGTTCATACAATGTGTACTATATATTATCAGGGCTGACCGTAAATTTTGAAACACAGATATGGTGTCTCTTACAGACATTATGACATATTGCTAGATGAAGAAGGACCAGCAATATCTTTATCTGCAACATATAATGTTAGATTATCTTTTTTTTTGTTGGAAGAAGTAGCATACAATTGATCTGACGACATTAAAGATAAATGTTTTCCATCAATTTTCATGTTTAAAATAGATTCCCCTCGTGTCCTCAAAGCTGATTTAAGTACGCAAGTAGCATTAATAATACTTGGCGAAAGTAAATTTCGTTTCTTTGTTTTTATATCTGTTAAAAATGAAAAAATTCTTTCAGAATCAGCATTTGGCATTGAATTTGGCAGGGATCTAATGGCATTCAAAAGCAATGTTAAGTTGGGATATTTAACCAAATTAGTCTGACATTGCAAAATTTGCTTCCACATTTCATCGAAATTTAATTTTGACAAATTTAATTTTTCTGTAACACTAAAATTTAAATGTAATGTCGACCATTCTTTTTTTAATTTATCTTCATCAAAACCACCAATGGTTTTGCTGATAAAAGAAACATCTTTGAATGATGTTTCTCTGTCAACATCAAATAAAGCTGCTTGCGGTTGAAATACTTTCAATTTATATAAAAATTTGTCTGCAATTGGTAACCTTTTGCGAATTTCCTCAGCAGCAGTAATTAAAAATTGTAAACAATTGTTTCGAATATTTGTAATTGCACCAATATTTTCTTTACTTATTATTTTATTTAGATATTCTTCGCATTCTGATCCTAAATTAATGTCTTCAAGAGATTTATGATTCTTACTTTCAGAAAAGTTTATCGTTAATAAATCTTTTAAAAAATCTGGTTTTAAAAAATGTTGAGAAATTTGGGATAGAAAATACATAGATTTTGGATGCAATAAATGTACTTTTGTTTCCAATGTTTGAAAAAATGCATTAAACATATTAAATAAATTTAAAATATGTTTTAAGAACAATAAATATGCTTTCATGTCTATGTTTTGCATTATAGACAATAGATACTCTCCTGGTTTACTTTTTTCGCTTACAACCATGTCAATTAAAAAATATTTTATAGTATCCCAAGAAGAAAGAACTTTTTCAACACATGAGTGACGAGAAAGCCAGCGCGTATCGGATAATCTTAAAATTTTATGACTCGATTCCTGAAAACATTCGGAAAATTCGCGGAAATTGGAAGATCGTTTTAGATTACTATTGATATAACTAAAAATTTTTTTTAAAAATTCCTCACAAAATTCAGGTATTTTAGAACATGCAACATGTGCAGCCAATGCAACAGAATGACATGGACATGGAAACGTCAATAAATTTTTAGACATTTTTTCAAGTTTTTTTTTAATGATAAATGTTTCCCTGTCATTACAGACGTATTCTCGCATGACAAGGCAATAATATTTGAAAATGGAATTTGCAGCTTCCACATTTCCATTTTAAAGGCATTAAACAACTTTTCCGCACTACAATCTTTTGCATCGACATCAATTAATTTGACTAACTGCGAGTGAACATCTAAAGTTTCAGAATTGACATATCGAACAAAAAATGTCATCCATTTTTCGTTCGACGTATCTGATGTTTCTTCAATGCAGACTGAAAATTTCGTGTTTTTAATATTTTCCACAACGCGATCAGTCTCCACAGAGCACAAAATATTCGAAATTATTTTCGTACATTTTGTACGACCCATATTCATACTTTGTAATACCTTAGGATCTTTTCCTACATCCTGAAAAAAATTAAGAATCATTTGTGCAGTGGCAAGGGAAATACTTTTGTCAGCAATCAATGCAGCATATCGAATCTCCGCTGACTTTTTCCGCTCATCAAATGCCAAAAATGTTTCATCATCTTCATTAACATCACATGTATTAACAATACTTTCTATATTACATTTATTTGTATGCATTGCTGAATTTGCGTGTCGATAAATGTTCGATAAACGAGCAACAATATATTTTTCACAAATGCAGCAAAAAACTAAATTTGCATTATGTGGCGCTTCACGCAACCATGGTTTAAGTTCTTCAATGTCAAGCCATTGTTGTCTTACTTGTCGTTTAAATGTCTCTTTTTTTGATACATTTAGATTCGAACTTACATCGATGTTATTACATGATGATGTACTTTCTCTATAATTATTTTTATGACTCGCAGATTCTGTATGCCTTACGAGATTCGTACTGCACGAAAAATCTTTATTACATACAACGCAATAAAAAAGACTGTCATCGGATGGTACTTTACGTATCCAAGACTTAAAGCGATCATCGGTAAGCCAACTGTCTAAAAAGCTCCGTTTACTTTTTTATTCGCTTTATCACACGTTTCCATATTGAAGACTACAAAATAAAAAAAAAAAAAAAAAAAAAAAAAAGAAATTAGAACAATGATGAAACAATATATAATAGAAATTTTAGTAATAGTTTAAATTAGTCAATTATTTACTGCACAATGACTTATATGGATCGCGTAACACACGAATTGCCAAACGAAGAATAATGTACGGTATTCAATCACCACACAACACCATACACTACACCATAATTGTGGTAAGCCATACAATAATTGTGCAATAAATAATGGTTAACTACTTACTATTAAGCTTTTATAAGAGAGCAAGATTTTAGCAAGCTCTTATAGTAACAAGATCGATAACCTTTCACAAGGAATCGCACCTGAATCGCACGGCAGATTGCTTCGGAAAACAATTGGAGTTTAGCATTCCTACCGTTTTTCTTATTTCCTTCTCCTTACTGCTCCTTACCAACACCAGAGAGAAACACCTGAGAGCGGCCATCCCGGCCTTTTTTGGGATAATAAAAATTGCTGTACACTACCGCCACCAAATCGTCTATAATTGAGCCCGTGAAACTATAAATCACATGTATTATATATGCATATATTTACGTTCGTGCGATTTTCCTCTTATCATCTAAAGCATACAATAAGTATATAACAAAGTGTTACGCAACACTTTATGAATATAGCATGGAACAGAACCAAAGACTGTGCACATAACATGTTATCCATTGAAAGTGGACATGATTACGTAGTTCAATGTGCATATTTTGCTCATAGAGGCGCTAGTGGATAAATTGCAGTTAAAATGCGCGTACGATCGCTCTCATCATCCTGTAGATAGATAGATGGAAAAAGAGAGGAAAGAGAGAGAGAGAGAGAGAGAGAGAGAGAGAGAGAGAGAGAGAGAGAGAGAGAGAGAGAGAAGAGTTAGCAAGCTATGGGAGAGAGAGAAGAGGGAACAAGCGCATTTGAATCAGCTGTTTCAATATGACAGCTAATCCGGGTCGCAGTGCGTAATGCAACTCGGTTTGTAGTGGAATGATCACGAGATATATATATATCGTGTTGCGATAAGTAGAGATAAACTTTGAAAAAATGACCACGAGAAACTTAACTGAACCCTTCATTTTAATGCGAAATAATGCCCTGCAGAGCAAGCATATTTATGCCGAACAGGTGCGTACAGTTAACCTTTTTCTACCTGATCCCATTTGCCGCTTTTATTTTTGTTTTATGACTCTCATATGAGCCTTTTCAGAATTTCACCGATTGTGAAATACTGGTCGAGTCGGATTCTAACGGATCTGATAATGTCGAACTGAAGGGTATGAATGTAGATAGTAATGCACCACCTGCATGGGCAGATGCCTTGGAAGAGACACAATACATTCTAAGTAGATTACGAGTGAAGATAGACAGTTTAGTCGAGTTGCATTCTAAACAACTTACCAGGCCCACCTTGGACGATACTTCTCAGGTTTGCAGGTTTCTTATGCTATAATTCGATTCTTAAGCTATGTTCAGATGAACTGTTTTCGTCCTCCCATTTATTCTGTAGAAAACAATACATCGATAGAGGCAAGTTTTTATTTTTTATAACAATTATAACATTAGAATCTGAAATGTGTTTTATAAAATGTTGCATAGGAAGAACGACAAATGGAGCAACTGACACGAGAGATCGGACGTGCATTCTCCAATGGCTACAGACAAGTACAAACAATTAAATCAGCTGGCAGGCATGAAACTAAGCCTGCAGAACGTCGGCTAGCTGCCAGTGCAGTAATGGCCCTTTCAACTGCCTTACAGGAGTTAGGTCTTCGATATAGAGCAGCGCAGAATCATTATCTGACACGTATGTTCCTTAGATAACTTAATAAAAATAAGCAACTATTGATATTTATATCAAATTTAATATTATTTTATGATTTGAGTACATTCGATTTTTACAGAGATAAAGTCAAGGGAGGAGAGGAACAATCAATTTTTCACAGAAGACCAGTCTCTTCTAAATAATGTATCAACTGATTCTTGGTTGATAGAACCGAATGAGGCTAGTGATTATTGGCAAAAAAGTGAGCAAAGACAGGACTCGGTTTTGTTGCAGTTGGAAGAGTCTGAAGATAGAATGAAATTAGCGATGGAAAGAGAGGAACAGATCGGGAATATAGTTCACAGTATAGGAGATTTAAAATATATTTTTAAGGTAAATTATTTTATATAGAAATTATTATGACTACTTAATGATTTAATAATTGTAATACAGCAAACACAAAATCTTTGATGCGGAGAATTCAAATATATTTCCTTTTTATTTATTACATTTATTGTTATTTATTGTCAGCAAAATAAATTTTGAATGAAATTTTGGATCCTCATTATGCACAGGATCTTGCAGTGATGGTACAGGATCAGGGTACTATTTTAGATCGCATCGATTACAACATCGAGCAAACGCAAGTACAGGTACAGGAAGGTTATAAACAATTAAAAAAAGCTGACTCGTATCAAAAGGCTAATAAAAAATTGTATTGTATCGTGATTCTCGCGGCTGCTATTATATTACTTAGCTTTTTGTTCGTCATATTTAAAACGTAGAATCAAGGATAGCTAGAATCTAGGATAACTAGAATAAAAATTGATGTAAAAATATACTTGTATTTATCAATGTGTTCCATAAAATGAAATGTCTTTGTAAAGAGAGCCCGTTGTATATAATGATGGAAAGCGATTTTTTTTAAATATGTGAAATTTTTCTCAAATTATTGTCGAAAATTATATTTATAAGATTACAATGTCTGTTCATTCTATCTGTTTATAAATTAATCTAATGGAATTATTCGATAATAAATGTGACATTAATTTTTTTCGATGTTAACTTTGTAAATTAATTTATAAGATACAGTCTCTTGTAATAAGACCTGGAATTTTATTAATATTCCGTTTTAATTCATAATCTGTATTATGAATAATCGCTAAAATCAGGTTTGTAATAAATAGAATAATTATTTATGACTTAATAGTATATTTTTTTATAGCGACAAATTATAATATTATTTTATGTTTAAATTATTCTCATTTATGTATGTAACATCGCAATGATAAAAAATGTTGCAGTTCATCCTTTTGTATCTGTAAAACCTTAAAAATTATTCCAGTTTTATATATCCAATTGTTAAAAAATTATTCCATAATAATAAAATAATGATTAAGATTGCTATGAACTGCTTATTTTTCTTATGTGTACATTACAGGGTCTTATAAATTATATATTCTTTCAGAAATTATAAAAGATAATACAAAATACTTTTTCCTTGTACTTTAAGGATGTATGTATATCATACATCAAAAGTAAGACTTATTACTCTAAGAGTTATTGCTCTCTTTTCTTTGTGTAAAAAGACCTATGTAAAAAGTGAACATAATTCTTTAAACAGTTTAAAAATTATTTAATTTTTGAATTTGTATTGATTTTGAAATACATAATTTTTTTATATTTCATGTGTTTAATTTAAATTCGATATTCATCACTCAATATTTTAGAAATTATTTATTTTTGTTTCTGTTTTAAGGTATTCATAATCAAAACTTCTTATTATCTATCAAGAAAAGATTAATTAAAATTAATTGTAAATTAATTGAAAAGATTAATTGTATTTTTTTTCATAGAAATGTTAAAAACATATTATTTATATTTAATTTTCTAAAATCCGAATCTATTTACTATTTCAAATAATATAGATATATATAAGAAATATGATTTTTTTTAATATTTCGATTAACTTTTTGTCTACTATTGTATAGTCAATACATCCTTAAAGTTCACTTGGAGAGCTTTTT